ATTAATATATTCATATATTGAACGTTAGGCTTAATCTACATTTGATGACGTAACTAAGAAACGATTAAAACGTCATACAACGGATGTTACGGGTTGATAATAATAATTTACGGAATGATAAATGTTAACGTTGTTTTATCAAAGAAAGATTAAAACGACAATTTTTAAACGATTCACTTCTCTTTTTCCTCCCCGAAGCAAAAACTAACAGAAATTTGGTAGAAAAGAAAAATGTAAAACAAACAATCATTTCTTCTACATGCAAATTATCCTTTGTAACATATCACTTCCGGTACTTTCTTCATTTAGATCGATTGTTTGAAAGAAATTTTATTGGAAAAATTTCAATGTTTCGTTGAAATTTGTTTGTAAAACATATTGGAAATTTAGAACTGAACATTGCGCTATATATTTCCGGCAATATTTTTTTCATTTACGGAATGGAAAAAAATAAATTCCTCATCATTTTTTTCCTTCTGCAGTCTATTTCATGTATTTTTTCTATATGGAACAGATACGAAGGATTCATTGTGTCAATCAAAAAGATTTAGCCTGTCAATCAATGCAAGAGGAGAGATATCAATAAAGTTTAAAACTTGATTGAATTAAATTGTATACAAGACAACATATTAATTAATACTGTCAACTATCTGTTGATTACTGAAAGAACAATCTTCAAATTAAAATTGTTTTTCTTCAAATATACCATTTTCGTTTTGTCAGAATTAATTCGATGGCTAAAGCAATGAAATCAACGAAAGGAACCAAAATGTGAGTAACAAACAATTCATCAGAAATATTTTTATGTAAATGAACATCGATAATATATTGTGCATCTGCAAAACGATCAAGTAATCATAAAAAAAGTGAATAGAAAATAAAAAAAAAAAATCTCACTATTCTTGGCTATGAATTAATAATTCATAGAAAAAAAAAAAGAATTACAATATATCATAATAAAATTAATCTTTTTTTTTTTTTTTTTGCTTAAAAATTCTTTTATCGAATGATAGAGAAAGTATAAAGAATGAAAAAAAAAAGTATAATTTGTTGAGATATAATTAAATCTCTTCTCTTCCTGCTTCTCTTTCTTCTTCTCCTTTCATTTCATCTTTGAAAAAAGAAAAAGAAAATAAAAAAAATGAATTGAATTGAAGATGGTAGAACGAAGATAATTACAACTCATTCCAAAATGGCTTTTAATTAGCCAATAACTGAAAATAGCAAAAGAAAAAGAAAAAAAAGGGAATGTAGCGCAATGAAGAAATGAGTGAGTAAAAGGAAAAAAAGAGTTACCAGTATTACTATTTTATGAAAATGAATGGAGGAGAGAGAGAGAAAGGGAGAGGGAGAGAGGGACAGAGAGAGGGAGAGAGAGAGGGAGAGAGAGAGGGGGACAAAGGTATCCAATGCTAATTTAAAAATTTTTTTTCTAGAAATAAAAAAAAGTGGATGAAATTGTCCTTTTCTTTATTTATAACCATCAAATGATATTTATTGATTCTCAAATTAAACAGTTTCAAAAGATAAATAAAAATAAAAGAAATGCATTTAGGAATAAATTATATTACATTTATTCTTTTTTCCTCTTTCTCTCTTTCTCTCTCTTTCTCGCTTACTCTCCCATTTTAATTTCACTTTTTTTTTTTTTCTTGGAAATGAATGAATTGAGGAAGGAAGAAAGAGGACGAATATTCGCGCAACAAATTACATCAAAATGTCTGTTATTGTTATTGTTGTTATTGTTGTTGTTGTTATCGATGGCGGTGAATGATAACGACAAAAGGATCCATTGATGACTAATGAGAAGAGCTTTTCTTTCTCACAAAACTCATTTCATTATACATAAATATAAAATGAAAAGTGATAATGCTTTTTTTTTATTAAACTTAATATTTTCCAACAAAATTTATTGTTTCTTATATTATTTATCAAATCATAGAAGACAAATAAATTTCAATTTTCATTATTAATTTAACATTAACTTAAATTATTAATATATTTTTGACTTAATTTATAATTTATTTCTAACTGTTAAGAGAAGTGAATCAAAACGAATCGAAGTATTCCGCATAATATATAAATATTATGTATACGTCTAAGATAAGAATTGATTAAGATTATAAGGAAAATATATATTATTTATCAATCAGAGTTTAATTTTTTCCTTTTCATAGGAAAAAAGAACAACGCATGTGTTTGGCAGTTTCTCTTTTATTTTCTTTTTTGTTAAATGAAAAGTATATGAAAGGGAGAATTAAGAAAGATATTAAATATAATATGTTTTCATACAAATATATTTCTATATAAAAGGCATTTGATATAATGACAGTATGTTTCTTATATTTTTGTAATAAAATGATTAAATCTATTCAAAGTAATAAACTCTTAAATTTTACTAATACCATTATAATTTTTTAAGAATTAAAAGATTGTAATTTCAACGAATTAAATATATTTAGTATTAGAATAACTGCACCGTTTTTGAACTGAACTTATATTAATGAAATCATTTGACTGCTAATAAAATTTGTAAGAATTGATGGATGTTAAAAGTTTTATGAGGAGTGATAAAAGAATTGATGAAAGTCTTTTCATTTATTTTAAATATATTATACGCTTCGAAATAAATGATTTATTCTCTAGTATTTCTCGTAATATCAAGATGAGAGATTGACTTAGCAATTTTAAAAACACATAGCTAAAAATGGTAGGAAGCGAATAAATTTATATAAATTTGTAATTTTTTTTTTTTGTCTGAGAAATAAAAGTAGAAGGTTAATCGTTCATTGATGAAATGAAGGGTATATTTTATGGTATCCTTGAAATGATCCATTTTATAAATTTAGCAGAGTGATAGTTTGAAAAGAGAAAAGGAGTGGCGCAAAAGGAAAGGAAAGAGAAGTTTGATGAGTAAGAGAGAATAGAAATGTGTTAGTCGTTCGATGGAAGAAAATTTACTGAAATGATTGATGAGTTTATTCACCGCTAACGCTTAATGATAAGAATAAAGGAGAAAGAGTACTTCACAAATGATTGTAACTCATTGTTTCAATTTCATTTGTTTGATGAAAAAATTGAACAAATATCATGAAATTATCAAAACAGCATTCATTTCTTTTTTTTATTTCTTCTAATATTTCAATTTAATCTTCACAAACTATCTAATATATGTTTTTTTTTCTTTTAAATAAGGAAAAAACAGATTAAAAGTTTTAAAATGAAGAAATATTTCCATGCCTTTTTTTCATCTAACTACTAAATTTAAATCAAAATTCAGTTGAATTATGGTTGATTGATTGATTGATTGATTGATTGATTGATTGATTGGTATTCATCGATGATCCATCCATTCGACTATCACTTTTTTCCGAGTAATTCAAAATACGTTATGAATGCAAGAAATAGACTAATCTTAAATCAAAAATAGCTATATGGATTAAAAAGAAAAAGAAAAAAAATATAGGATGAAAATTTCATTCAAAATTGTTCGCATCTGATGTTTTAAATTTGTGAATATCGGTGTAGCATATGTTCAATCGATCAATTAATCAGTTGGAATTACATTTTTATCCTAAATGCAAATAGTTGAGTAAAATATCTTAGATTTGTTTTATTTATATTTCAATTTAATTTTTGTCAAAATAGAGTCGTCATTGTCACTGTTAAAGGATAGCCTGCATTATTCACTCATAAATATATCATATCATATCATATCATATCATGCTGTAGTCTAAGTTATCAGTCTCTTTATCTTAATTACAATAACTACAATAACATATGGATTAATGCATATTCTCTACCTGAATAATATCAATTTCTACAATTTACAGTAAAAGAAGGAAGAGAAAACTGTAAAAGGACAAATCTTCCAGTGCCTAAAGACTTTGCTTGTAAAAAGTCTTGGCCAGTAAGAAGTCTTGGCTTATAGCTTAACAAGTATGTGAAAACCTTGGCTACTTTTTTATTTTAAAGGAACTTTCAAGGCAGAAATATACCTATAAGTACAGATTATTGTTATCATACTCGCACCTTTATTGTTAGACATGAGATTTCATAGCGATCCGTTGTGTGAAACAGCATGAATTAGGACACAGTCTACGTCATACGGAACGTTGTGGTGCCATTCCGGTTATTCCGGTTTTCTGCCTTTATTATTTTCGGGTAGGTATCTGTACTCTGTTCCATTTTTTTTCTCTCTGCAACTTTGGTCTATGACGTTGCTAAAAAGGGAGGTAAAAAAAGAGAGCATGAATTTTCTTGCAGAATATTTCCAATTTTCATTTTGTCCTTAAGGAAAGAAGAAAGGAAAAAGCTAAAGCTTTAAGTTATTCAGAATCGACTTTTAAAAATTTTAAGATTTCTTAAACTCAATTTTGAATTTTCTTGGCATAATTTAATATCTTCATTCTAGCAAGAATTTCACATAAATGTCACTTTTATGAACAAAAATACAGACACATAAGCTAAGTGAGATTAAACACATGCCGTATCTTCGTTACTCGGGACATGCTATAACGGTTGAGTATTGTTAATTGGACTTGAAGATGTTAAATTTTTTGAATAACGCAATCAAGCTCTGAGGCTTCCTTATTTTTTACATTATGTTTAAATACAATGTAAAAGTAGCAGAAGTAGCACGTTCTGAAGTACTCACTCTTAGGGTGAGTCAATACGATTGAGAGAAAGTTGTTCTGAATGAATCAAAAATTGAATCGCTTTATTTTCTTCTATTTCAATTTCCGCAACTAGATATTCAATATAAAATGATCCTATTTTAATCTAAAAATAAAAAATGACTTCAGTCCAGCTGCCACTGAAGGAATAAAGAACCAACATGAAAACAGACCTCGAGGCCACAGCTTATTTAGGAAGTTCAAATTTCTGATCTTAAATCGTTCCATAAAAAAATAATTGCGTTTTAGCTTATTTTCATCTTTTCATCATCTGCAGTTCCACGGCTCCTTTTTTCTTTTTAAACTAACAGTGCTGTATTTTAGATGAAAGCATTAACCTGTGATGAAGTACGCGCCGCCTTTATTAATTTCTTCAAGGATCGTGAACATACATACGTACATTCATCATCGGTTATTCCCTTCGATGATCCAACCCTGCTATTTGCCAATGCTGGAATGAATCAAGTGACTACTTGTTATGCATTTATTAGCATAAGAGATAAAATTAGTTATCAGGCGAAAGTGTTCATCTAATTTGAAAATATTGCTCACGATTCTGAAATGAAGCCTATATTCAATGTTGCATTTACTTGGCAAATTATATTTCCTCTCAAGATGCAAATCAGTCATTGAAATTTTGAAATTTTTGAAACGATATATTAGACAGTTTTTTTTTTTAAGTCAGGACCATGTTCTTTGGATGATGGAATGCTCCACCATAGCTTAACTAATGCGAAAAATCGATGTCGATTCATCTTAAATCGTCAAAAATATTTTCTGAATCGCTAGTACAGACTAAACCTAAAAATTTGATAAGTTAAATTAAGCTTAAATATTACATAATGAAATAACTTAAAAGCACTGTGAAATTTCTGTACCTTATACAGAAATTTCAGAAAAAACTGATTTTCAGTATAAGCCAATATTTTTGGGTACGGTGGAACCATCAAGTGAAATGGCAAAGTTGAAGCGAGCGGTAAATACTCAAAAATGTATTCGAGCTGGTGGTAAGCATAACGATTTGGATGATGTCGGTAAAGACGTCTATCATCATACATTTTTCGAGATGCTTGGAAATTGGTCATTTGGGGATTACTTTAAGGTTCAAACAAAAGTCGATTTAACAAGCTTATTTATTCGAAATCTGTTTTCGATGAAAAGTGTGAAATTTTCATTCATATGTATAGCTAAGTGGGCGTTGTTACTTTGATTTTTAAGCTGGAAGTGTGCAACTGGGCATGGGAACTGCTGACAAAAGTATTAGGAATACCTGGAGAACGTTTATATGTTTCTTACTTTGGTGGCGATGAAAAGGCTGGCCTTGATGCTGATGAAGAATGCCGGCAAATATGGCTGAATATCGGGTTATTAACGTTTACTTATTATATTTCGTTTTACCATAAATTAAAATTCTGGTTCAGATGCTATTAAGGAATGATACACATAGCTCTAAATTAAGAATTCTTCTCGTCAGCTATTTTCGTTTATTTTGTCTCGCATATTCCTGTTCCAATTTTCAGCAACAAGTCTTGAAAGTCATAAATTTTTAGAGTGCCCCCATCGCATATTTTATCATTTGGAATGAAAGATAATTTCTGGGAAATGGGTGATGTTGGGCCATGTGGACCATGTTCCGAAATACATTATGATCGCGTGGGTAATAGAGATGCTTCACATTTAGTGAATGCTGATGATCCGATGGTCGTTGAAATATGGAATCTTGTTTTTATGCAGTTCAACAGGTAATACATATAATGTTGACTTAGTTTTTTTTTAATAGATTGGTAAAACAGCGTTAAATGTCATTTTGAACTTAAAATATTGCAATTTTAGGGAGGAAGATGGTTCATTGAAGCAATTACCACGTAAACATATTGACTGTGGTTTAGGTTTCGAAAGGCTTGTTGCAGTTTTGCAGAATAAGCTATCAAATTATGATACAGATATCTTCACACCTCTTTTTAGTGCCATACATAATGTAAGTTCAATAACGTGCATTTTTATTATAAAAATTATTATGGGTGGTTTTTGTGATAAGTATCTTTCATTTAGTTGTATTGCATTCCTTACCATCTTACCAAATGTTATGCATTAATCTTATTTGTGTGGATGAGCTCGGTGTAGCCATTTAATTGAGTTTGAAAAGTGTAATTTATCTTGTTAACAAAGTATCATCTATCCTTGCTTTATGCGAATCTTTGCTTTTTGACAGTTTTTTGATGGTGTAAAAAGTGACTTCAAAATATCTTATGGGTTTGTTTTGTAGGGCACAAAGGTACGTCCTTATAGCGGTAAAGTAGGTGCTGATGATGTCGATGGTATTGATATGGCTTATCGAGTAATTGCTGATCATATTCGTACTCTTTCCATTGCTTTGTCTGATGGCGGACGACCAGATAATACCGGCCGTGGGTTCGTACATCATTTTTAATAAATAAATTCTATATTCGTTTCTTTCGGATATTGAGCACTAATCTCATTAAATTTTAGCCGACTATTTCTCATTTATAGTTTCATTTATAATTCAGTCTCATTTATAGTTTCGTTTTCACCTAATTTCACTTTTATTTGTAGATATGTTTTGCGACGCATTCTCCGTCGTGGCGTACGTTATGCAAATGAAAAGTTATCAGCTCCACCGGGTTTTTTATCATCGTTGGTGCCGACCGTTGTTAATTTACTTGTATGTGTTAATTTCTTATCTGAGTTTGTTTTTCATGTTTATCTTCTCAATTACTAGGTAATTCTTTTAGGGGAAGACATTTCCGGAGTTACATAAAGATCCGCAAGCCGTTATGGACATCATTAATGATGAAGAGAAACAGTTTTTGAAAACACTTAGTAGAGGACGGACACTATTCCAGAAAGCGGTTGCTGGTCTTCAGGGACACAATATTTTGCCTGGTTGGATTAATTGCTCTTTATTTGTACACTTTATCTTTTCTCTTTTCTAAGCAATATATATTACTTTTTTAGGTGATGTTGCATGGCGTTTATATGACACATATGGTTTTCCATTAGATTTAACTCAGCTAATGGCTGAAGAAAGAGGCCTTGTAGTCGACTTTGAAGTATTCGAGAATTGCAGGCAAAAAGCTGCTGTAAGCTGTTGTCTTAATAAATTTGCAAAAAGTAAACAGTTTTCGAAACTTATGAAATATTTGGTATAGACTTATTAAAAATTTAATAAAATTTTAGGGAATATCGGCTGCTCATGCCAATAAGATGCGTGATACGATTGATTTGGACGTCAATGCTATTTCAGAATTAAAAAACAAAGGAATTCCAGCTACGGATGATTCACCGAAGTATAAATATTATGCTTTATCCTCCGAAGATCAGCAGACGTTGTACAGTAAGTTTCCGATAAAAAATTTGATGAGTTGTAAAAAAAAAATCAATTTTGATGTTGTCAAGATGTTAATGTTTGCAGATTTCGAAAAATGTGAGGGCATAATTCTTGCTTTACGGAAGGATAAGATATTTTTGGACACTTTGAATTCGGGAGATTTTGGTGCACTAATCCTTGATAGAACTAATTTTTATGCTGAACAAGGCGGACAGATATTTGATACAGGTGTTCTCACGGAAGTTAATAAGGTTTCTTTTATTTACAAAGGTTTTTCATATGTATTCTGATTTGCAAGGAATAGATTTCTGCTTAGGTAATTTACAGATATTAATTTTTATCCAAATCAGTTAGAAATACTATATATATTATGACTTTTAAAATACTTGCAGGGTAGTGAGTTTATTGTGAGCAACGTCCAGATCCGTGGTGGATACGTCGTGCTTGTAGGTACTGTGGAAGGACAATTATGTGTGGGCGATAAAGTAATTCAAGCAATTGATGAGGTATAATTGCAGTTGCATAATTCTTTCAAATATTCAATTTCAAAAAGAAAAATGTTGAATTAGCTCTGTGACACATATATTTCCTTCTAGTGGGAAAAATAAATTATTGCAATTTCAAAAGAAGATGAGACGAAAAGAAAGAGAAAATGAGAAGACTAGGAATTATTATACCTCACGGATTTGCATTAATGTTTGATTTTGTTTTTCATTTACAGGACCGTCGTAATCTTATAATGAAGAATCACACCGGGACCCATGTTCTCAATTTTGCATTGAGGAAAGTCATTGGTGAAGTTGAACAAAAGGGTTCATTGGTTGCTCCAGACAGGCTTCGATTCGACTTAACTGCTAAGCAACCTCTAACCTATGAACAGGTTTATTTTTGATCCAAAAAAATGTATGAATTGCCAATATTTTTTATAACATAAATCTTGAGCGAACTTCAATAAACAGTGCTCATAATCAGTTTGGTTTTCAAGATAAGAATGGTGGAGAAAGAATCGCAAATGTTAATTGATACAAATGCAACAGTGTTTGCCAAAAATGTCCCACTAGCGGAAGCTCGCCAAATAAACGGATTACGAGCAGTTTTCGAAGAGTTAAGGACAATTAATAATCAAAAATTCATTTTCAGATTTCATTTACGATGGTACTAATCAAAATGTTATCCATATAAATTTTTGATGACATTTCTCTCTCTTATGTTTGAAAAGTTTTTTTTTTTTCAACTTTTATATTTCATTTATGATGGCACTAATCAAAATGTTATCCATATAAATTTTTGATGACGTCATTACTGGTTATGTTTAAAAATTAGTGTGAAAAAAGATTATGTGCTTATATCACGAGTGTTTAGCATGTCATAATTTTAGGCTTACCCGGACCCAGTGAGGATAGTAAGCGTTGGAATACCTATTGAAGAACTTTTAAGAAATAAAGATAGCGATTTGGCTGTCAATACTGCTGTTGAATTCTGTGGTGGCACGTACGTTTTCTGTTGTTATGAAATTCTGATAGTGGTCTATTTGGTGACTTACTTACTGTGTTCCACCTGTTTCGGGTTTAAAATTTTTTTGTTTAATTTAATCATTTTTCCAAGTATAGGGGTTTGCTGTCTTATGCATTGCAGTAATTCGATAAAAATACAGAAAACTTTATTCACTTCGATCACAAAAATCTTTTCAGACATTTGCATAATGTTGGCCATATTGGCAAATTAGTAATCACTGTGGAAGAAGCTATTGCAAAAGGTATTCGACGAATTATTGCACTTACGGGACCAGAAGCTTTCCGAGCGATTCACCGCTCTGATCGACTAGAACAACGAGTGGAAGACGCACATCATAAAATGACTACTGACCACATGGTAAACCTGGATAAAGCACAATTTAAAGCTGCAACCAAAAGAGTTCTTGAATTGTTTGAGGTTTGGTTTCATATTATTTATCAAATACTTCTAAAAAGTGCTTTTAAAATCGAACCTTTTTTGCAGTTAATTTCACCTTTTTAGGAAATTAATCAGTCACAACTGCCGTACTGTCGTAAAGAGAACATTCGAAAAAAAGCGAAAGCACTCCAAAAACTGTTAGATATGCATGATCGTGAAGCGAAAGCTGTACTTGCTGATAAGGTTCGGAAAACTTTGTTCAGTTCTAATTTGCCGCAGTTTAGTGGAGTTTTAAAAATGCTAATGTAAATTCGGTTTCCATATAACTAATTTTCGAAAACTCATACATTTTATCGAAGTGAATTTCAGGTGCGATGTGAAGCTAGCGAATTGGATGCTTCATTAAAAGATGGTACTCTATTTACTGTTCATGTTTTTAGCAAAGGTGCTAATGGAAAAGTAAGTCCATCAGATTTTTTTTTTTCTTTGAAAATTGGAAGTGAAGTTTGTCTGTAGAATCGAGCCTGTTCATTTATGTCATTCTTCTCTCTTACTCTGTGAGGATATGGCTCATATGTCACTTAGTACTCAGTAGAGATTTGCCTTCTACTGAAGCATTGAAGGAAGCCAATAAAATAGTTCCTAATTTGGAAAATATGATTAATAACTAAAGTAAGAGCAATTACCTTTAACGTTATCAACTTTATAATCGTAACTATCTGGTTATTATAAAACGTTTTCTAATTAGTGATAATTAAGATTTTCCAATTTCTAGAAATATTCAGGTATTAGATAGTGCTTTAAAATCGATAACGAAATCACATGCTATTATGGGATTCTCAGTCAACGATGATGGTAAAGTAGTCGCTGTCGCACGTGTTTCCAAGGTTGATTTTATTTTTAGAAAATTTCTCAATTTTCTTATTTCAAATTTCTTATTGCCATATTTGCTCTCTTTATTGTAACTGTGTTTTTGTAATTTTGTAGGACATGTCTAAGATTTTTATAGGATGTTGCAAGCAAAGGACTGCAAGCATCGGAGTGGATTTCGAGAGTATGCCAAGTTCTTGATGGTCGAGGAGGTGGTACAATAACACAAGCACAAGCTACGGGAAATAATGCTGAATTAGTAGAAGAAGCTGCTCAAATTGCTTTGAAGTTTGCAGAAGTTATACTTTCTTAATCTTTTTTTTTTTTTTTTTCAGTGAAATGGATTCCTTTGATATACATTTGTTGATGGTTCAGGAATTCTGTTGTGTGGGATAAATGTTTGGTGAAGGGAATTTTCAAGCATGAATTAATAACTTCACTGTCATTCAGATCATATTGAGTTTTTTTGGAAGATAATTGTTATCTTTTTCGTTTTCCTCATGTGGGGAAACAATTTTTTTTCGAAAATCATCACACTTTAAATTATCTTAAACGTATTCGCAGGATTTTTCATGCAGTGTAATTATGCCTTTGTTTAAGTCCTTATAATACATGTTCTTGTAAAAGGAATATTGTCTACAGGAGGGCAACTCTTTATTATGGATTTGTATCATAAAGCAGAATCTGACCATCACCTTAGACTTTGAAGCAGCTACCTTGTAAATGCATTTGTTATTACATTATCAGACTGCATTGCATGCAGTTTTCCGGTTACATCATTGTCGCTCACTCTCGTCATTACCTTGCTTTTTCCCTCTGCACTTTTGCTCGTTTTTTCATAACCTAACTGTATATTAATTATTACACATAGCTTCCAGTGCACCTGCCAAAGCAATATGACCATTACTACATATGCCAAATCATTTATTCAAAAAAAAAAAAAAATGAAATGCAGCGATACAAGACAAAACTATAGAAATAAATTGTATTTTGATTCTAGTGCTGTTTTTTCTTTGAGAACATTCAACAACAGAAACGAGAATTTGGACTGTTCCATAGGATACAAAAAAGAAAATATGTATGGTACACAAGAACAATGTTATCAGGACAACATATTGAATGAAAGCTGTGGAGATGAGATGTCTCAACTTGGCGACTGTTGAGAAGTCGGGACGACCCATTTTATTTTCGAAATTTAAGTTTCTTGGACGGTCTAATTTTTACACATGATATCGGTTAGGTAATCAAATAGAGCAGTTAAGAAATGCTAAGCTCGGTGCGCAAGTACATATATAAGTAGTAATAAGTAAAGGAAGCAATACAGGACAACAATCTAATGAAGTCAACTTTATATACTTACGTTCACCGTATGAAAAACAATGGGGATGAAGAAAAAGCAAATTAAATATAAAACTACAGGAAAGTGATTTATTTATTGCACAGAAATAAAACTGAAAGCAATAAACGGTCATCAGACCACGTCTTCAAACTCATCCTCTTCTTCATCATCTTCATCACTGAAGTAAATCCGATTCCCAAAAACTCCGGAGGAAGCCGGGAACCGCTGCAATCCATGTAAACCAGGCTGAAACATTCATCAATATTAACATGTATGTATAAGCAGTGAGACCAGTTAGTTATAGGTATGAATGTAGAACTATCTGGAAGTAATAATCTTTAGCATTTTTAAAATATACACAGAGTAGAAAGAAGGATTAAAATCATATGACCAGTAATGAATTCACTCCACTAAACTGAAGTTTTATGACTTTTTCCTAATTATATATGATAACCTGCATAGCATGAGGTCTTTTGTTGGCATTATTAGATGACCCATGCTTCCTCTTACGTGAGGGCTTCGAAATAGCGGAATTACGCAAGCGTAAAGCACACCGAAATTCTTTAACAATTGGATAAATCACTTCAACTGCTTTCATTACATCACTTTCAGATGCAGCTAAATTAACGAAGAAATTAGATAAAATTAAAATCTAATTTTCCAATTGCTTTTTAGTTCATACTCCTTATCAAATTCAGTGTTTTAAAACTTGCCGCCAGTGACAGTAATGCTGCCGGTTGTATGAATTCGAAGTGTGGCTCGAGGATTTGTGGAACGCCATATGAGGCCAACTGATAATTCTGGTTCGTATTGAGAACAATCTGGATATTTCTGCGCTAGCTAAAAAAATTTGTTAGAAAATGATTTTCACATATAGTTTTGTCGGAGATAAGAAACTTACTTCTTCAATTTTTACACCAAAAGGCATTTTACAAGTTGCAAGCACGTTACAAACGCGATAATTCCGAATTCGAACAACGTCCATCATCTTACCCATGGTTTTTTGGACCATGCGCGCAACACCTCTGGCAGCACGTTTGCATTCACTTTCGCTACAACATTTGCACAGTTTTAACTTGTTTAGAAGATAGAATTCCATTTTGCCTTGAAGAAAATGATTTGCGAGACGTAACCAGCTTGAAAATCAAATATACTTAAGAAATAAGTCAAAAATACCTGCGGCATCCGACAATATAAATTTTTCCAGAACTGTATATTTTAACGTAACACGAAGGATTTCTCTTCTGCTTCAACAAAACCTAAAATTACGTAATTTTGAAATTAATAGTCAAAAATTAAAATATTTGCAATGATCTTTAGCCTCTCATATAAAATTTAGGACTAATGCTTAATTAAAATGGAAAATAACTCTTGAAGCATAGTTAATTGCCAAACATGACCAGTTACCGATAACATTGTGATAGCAGGAATTTAAGTACTCTTTAAATCTTTAAGTCAGGCAACTTAAAAAAAGTACACTACACACCAAATAAAACTATTTTAAATTCTAACCTATTGAATGATATTATTGAATTATAAGTAAACAGAATAACAAAAGACAGAAAATTTACATTAAGAGTAACTTGGAAAGGTCAGAAAATACATCTAAGTACTTACTCCTCGACCTCGGTCAAATGCGACATTGCCGGAATTTAAAGCTACGCGATGCAAATCAATATGCAGTGGAAGTGTATAATTACAAACAACATTTCGGATCTGAAACTCAAAGCACTATTCAAAAGATAATCTACGAGCTTTAATCTCATTGTTTTCAAATGACAAAGTTACTTGGATATCAATCTCGCCATCTTCATCCGAATCACCTCGGTCAGCAAGCTCGGAACTTGTTGAAGGTGGAGCTTCCTCCGTTTGCTCTTCATATCCTGTCTTTCCACTGGACTGCAACATACCATAGGCTAATTACGCTAAAAAGGCCAACAAATATATACACATAAACAATAAAAATTGGACGTCACCATTTTGAAAGACTAAAAACAAATTTACAGCATCCACAATCGATCCTACTCGTTCTTCATCTTCATGCACAGGGACATTGAGATGAAATGAATCAGTCTGAGATAGAGAAAAATCCGATACGATTGAATGCTGCAAAGAAGTTTCCAAAAGACTACTTCGAGTTAATACTGAATGCTGTGGACCGAATCCTTCAAAAAAATTGTTCGCCGTCGTGCTGGAATGCCATACTACACCCTGAAGCATTTAGAAAACTATGTTAGTTCTTTGTAAGTGATGAAATAGAAACACTATTTTAATGGATTACACTGAAAAACAGTGGCTTCTTTGGTGAATATCATTGTTCGAATGCAATATGAACCAGGTTGATCCTTATAAATTCATAAATAACGAATCGATAAAATACTATCATTATTAATGTGAAATTAGTTCATAAAAAAAACAGAGCTGACCGTCGCTTCGGTTTGTGATGAAACAGATTCAGTATGCAGTGACCCCTCCAACGTCATATAATTACTGTTTACAGTCTAAACATAATTACAACTGATACAAATAGAAGCATGAATATAAGGAACTACTTCATCAATTCTTTAATCCATTACTGAAACGCAAATTAAAAGCTTCTCGACAACTTCCAATATTACGGGCTAATTAGAAATGAAAACCATTCTTTGCTGAATCATTAAAATAACATTTCTAACAAAGACAATTCTTTTTCAAGAATTAACATACTGCGGCTCAAAAGTGGACAATGAAATTTCAAAATCCCCATCAGAAACATTTGAGGGGTATATGCTAAAAATTTACTAAAAGCTAACAAAGAAATCGAAAACCTTAGTAGCCGCACTGGTAGTGACAGATGTGCCATTAAGAGCATAACTCCCGTGATCATTCTGACATGCATATATGCTCATTTTTTCTCCTCAATGACCATTAACATTACATCCGCTGAACTGTAAACAGATAAACACTGAACAACCACAACCAAAATTCATCATCATCTATAATTACCTGTAATTTATGGCATTAAAGCAGATACGTAAAATCAGAAGCATCGCCAAAAAATTAACAAATTACTGCCACATGGCACCAATCGAAGCGACGTAAGAAAAATATTTATTATAATATTTATAAAATCGTAAGCTATCTCAAATTTAAAATAACTTTTTTTAACTTTTCCGTCTTCATTCTTCCATGAGCCACATTTCTTCAGGAACTCAAAAATGACAAATTAGCTAGAATCAATCTATCTCTTATGATTATAATATAATTCCCAAAATCAAACATTTAGGGAATGTAACCGAGAAGTCCCATTATGATAGCTATCTTACCATGCCATCTGTTGTTCTTTTCCACCTGTAGGTTGCTATCTTCTCTAGCAGTAATTAATATTTTGTAGCTACCGAAATATTATTAGCTGTATCTTTCCATTGGGAGGAGACCTTCCACGCAATTCCCATAACATTTCACATGCACCAAGAACACTTATAGAAGATATTCTCTCGAGAAATGTTGCTGATTACTTCCACACCGAACATTCTCTTTTTTCCCGCAGTCAGCCACTATACTACACTTGTACGTAGAATCCAACGTTACAGTAACTCATAGACGAAAGACAAGTCTTCTTTTCGAGACTACATCATTTATTACCATTCAAATTAAACACCACACGTCCGCTTTCTTCTGATTTATACAACCAAACGTGAGGACAAAGAAAAAGGCGAGATTCAACGTGGATTAAATTGATACACTTCACCTTTCTCTATTCTGTGATTCGAGTAACCTAAATGCATATATCAGAGCTTACATGAAACTTACAATAATCAAAAGCTCTTACATAATACATCATTATCTTCAGAGTATTTCGTTCACACTCGTTTTCTATTCTTCTACCATTGCACATTACATCTAGCATTCAGTTTCTCAAATTCGAGGTTGATCGAAGTAATAACTGTGCCGTTATTATTTGGATCACCTTCATCAATTTTAAGCAAAGGACTTCAACATTCGTATCACAACAGAAAAACTGCGTGTACCGTATGTCGACTATTGTGAGATTAACTGGGAATTATATGAAATCATTCACAGTACACTATCATTGGATTATCACTTCATTTAAACTTTTTTATAGTGCAGAAGGGATCACAGAATTGCTTGAAGGACTCATTAAGTAAACAAAAGGTGCCTAATCCCCAAATACAAGATGTGGGACCTCAAACTCTCGCGAACACCAAAGACACCGGTTATCCCGCTGCAAACAAATGTTTAACTGGATTACGGCCGATGTCAGGACGTTATGAAACTGATAAATCTAACATGTAGCAATTCGATAAAATGCAGAAATATTGGATCCATTGTGTTTCTAACAGATTTGCTATAGAGATCCTTAATTTAAGGGGAGACATTATGAAGAATTTTTTTGAAATTAAGCTTTTTAATTGCATTGGTTTATCAAATCATAACAATGAATATGGCTGGTTGCTTATAGATTAGACGAATAGTTGTGAAATTGAGCACTGTGATCTTTTTATCGTTTCTGTTTTGCGATCCTCGTTCTAATGTTTTTTCAGTATACTGCAATACTTCCAAAATTTTCTTCAATTCTATAATTTAAAATTGAAAAAAATTTTTATGTGAATCTTCTCATGAACACACTTAAGTATAAGTTTGCTTTTATCAATAACTGTACATGAATTATTCATTTTCATTCTAATCAACAGTCTTCAGCAGATTCTTTCTTGATCTTTTTTATATTATCAATTTTTTAGTGTTCAACTTTCGTTAATTTTGCGAAAGCAACAACATGCAACTGTTGGTATTTCTTTATAATTGATTTTAAGGAACAAACACACATAAAATTTCTCGAATCCCAAGATCAGGAATGGTGTGTGACTCATGTAAGTACCCCTTTAATTTTAGGAATAATTTTTGATCGAATTTATGGTGTGTACAGTTTCGAAATTAATATTTTCTTCTCAGGATGTTTTTTCACTATTTTTCTCTTTTATTTCTTAATCAAGTCTTGTTTACTATTTTTTTTTTCGTTTAATTAATTGCAATTTTTTCTCTTCTATGTAAAATTTCAGTTTGATTTCCAGTTTCATTTTATCGTTTTTAGGTGTAAAAAAACTTGGTAAAGTAGCGGCCATTGATCCGTATCGAACAAAATCACGCAACGAATGCGCTGGGCCGATTAAAAAAGGTGGTGATGAAAATAAGCTCCTTTCAACTAGGAAAGACAGGTATATATCTGAATGAACTTCCCAAATTATTTTTCTTTTTTCTGTTATTTAATAGATTGTTGGCTCTACATGAAAAGTAATGCTTCAACGATATTGATCTTTTAAGTCCTTTATCAAGTTTAATTACCCAAACATTTCCATTTGAATTAAGTACAAGTATGTAAATAGTATGACTCAGTAAGAAATTGGAGACTGCATAAGTTTAATTGCTGTGAAAAATTCTATTTTAATTGTAGATTCCAGCCGTATAATCAGGAATTCAGGAAGTGTCGAATTTGCAAAACTGTTGTTCATCAAGTCGGTTCACATTATTGTCAGCAATGTGCATATCAAAAAGCCATCTGTGCAATGTGTGGTAAGAAGATGGCCGATACCAAGAAACTGAAAATGTCTTCTGTATAAATATCATTTTATCACATTGAGTGATTTAGTAAAAGTTGGAAAATAGCTTCCTATTGGGTTCGTGGTTGATTAAAGTTGTTTGGTAGACTTTTTTGAGTCTTAATTAGATCCACTAAACAGATAATTAACATTCAGCAGAGAATGTGATCTGTTGTTGATTTTTCTTTATTAATTTGTGTATCGTTATTTGCTCATAAATCTTAAAGTTTACTCAATGATTTCAAGAACTAAAATCTTAATTTTACTTGTTTTTATACTCTTACTTTCTTTTTTTTTTCATTATGCTCAAGAGTGTGTGGATGGACGGAGAAATATGGAAGGCTGAAAATATGAAAACAGTTATTACTTGAAAACACAGTTATTACTTGTATCACCTATAGTTCTTACCACTCATAATCTTACGAAATTCCAATAACAACGGATGATTCATTTTCACATACGTGCTGCGCAGTTTGGTTTTCATAGCTGTCAGTTACTTTCCGGTTTTCTCGAAGTTCTCTGAACTTCTTTCTCGTTCGCCATATTTCTTCGTTTGTGTTTGAAATTGATATGTTTCTTAATGTGCACGCCGTGATTAATAGTTTCTGTATTGTATGTAATTATTTAGATACTCTAACATATCTTTCGACAACAGAAAAAAAATGTACGGTTTGTGCATTTTTAATTTTCGAGGTATTTGTTATTGTACTACAAATGAATATCTGATAAGAAGTGTTTATAGATAGCAGTAACAGGTCTTAAATTTGCAGATATACAGGTATTTGATTTTTAGAATGGAGTAAAGCAACAACAATAAAGTTGTTATGTCTGAAAGTGTCATCTTATTGTTAGGCATAAAAATATTATTCGGAAGTTTAGTTAGCTCCTTTATTCATATTTTATATAGTTAGCTAATAAGTATTGCCTATAGTTGAATATTTTTGTCGATTATAGAATGTTGTGGTGTATAGATAAGTTCCGCAAAACGTTTTTGTCGAGAAGCTGTAGTGGAAGTAGACAGTAAACCGTGTTTGATATTTAGTTCGTAATAATAACTTTAATTTCAGTTTATTATGGATAGATAGATATGATGTGTATATGGAAATTACTAAATATGTTTATTTCAGATAGACTTATAATGATAGTAGGTATCGTATCATCCAGAAAGAAATTTATCTTGTCGGAGTGATGAAATTGGGAGTCCGGATTTCATGTGCGGAAATCTTTATAGGTTACCGTTGTGAATAAATAAAATATGTAAAGAGACGATTTGTTGAGTGCAGTCATTTAAATTTTTACGAAATGTAATTCGTACTGAAGTTGAAAAGTGATCTGATAGAATTCAATGATAAGGGAAAGTATTCCAACTTTAGGTGATAACGAAATGGTATTTGGTAGATTTATTATAAAGGTTTTGAAGCGGGTCACTGCATTATCTCTGTTCCATCTGTCCCATTTCATTAATGGGTTTCTTTTTCTATTATTCAATTTTTGTTTCTTTGGACCTTTTAAAATACCGCATTGTTCCATAAATCTGTAGAGACAAGCTTGTCGATGAAGTCATAGTGACTCTCAGTTCTCCTTTATTATTCATACAGATGTGTTCTGCTTATCATTGAGCAAAATCAATGTTTAATTTCCTTATTTTATATTATCGTACTCTTCAACTGTAGTTATCATCACGAAGGGTCAGAAAAGCAACAATTTTGTCATTAAGGAAATGTGTTAATGTCATTGTCAAGGTATTTACTTCGAACTTTTCCTGAGAAAATGACAGAATAATTTATTGATTGTTCACGAAGGGTCCTTTTTTTTCCTTGATTGCTTGCAGAATTTCTTTTCTACCTGATTGCTTCCATTTAACTTCTTTTACTAAACACCATCTTTATGACTGTACTGAAATTATTGAAGTCAGTGCTTCCTCATTTTCTCTCTCATTCACTATCAATTTTTACCTGTCCTATTGCTACCTTTGCTCGCATTTCTCATAATTAGTCGATTTCGACTAGCTTATTACTATTTTGCTTAGCCGTATGCTATGCTATTGTTGAATTAATTATTAGTTTCCAGCTAATTGCTTGTTAATCGTGTTGTCTTTTCTTCACCTCAAGCATATCTTGAACTGTTTCTAATAATGATTTTTCATTAGACAAACAAGTTAATATCACCAGTAATGCTAAGAATGGAAATTCGTTTGATTGAAAAAACTTCTTGTCATTTTAGAGAAATTTTTTGTATCATATTTTTGTTTTTTTCTTCACTTAACATAGAAAGAAACAATTTCTCCTTTC